TTGGGATAGATACAGAATTTGAGGTAAAGTGCTCTTCCATTTAAACTATGAAAATTATGGGGTCAGTTTGACTTCATCTTTTTCAAAACTAAATTTTTTTAACGTCCTTCCGAAGCGGGCAACGGGATTTCAATTCCGATGGCCGACAGCTTCTTACGGGCAAACTCCACACCAAAAATAGTGCCGACAACCCCAAGTTATGATTTTGTTGAATCTCGGAAGATCCTAGTGGATAATTTTAGAACAAAATATGCAAGTCCAGTTTGCCCTTCAAAATATCTAATAGATTTCAAAATGTTCAATGTGTAGCCCTAGATCATTTTGAATGTCTCTTGAAATATCCCGAGTTCATTTTGATCTTATCATAATGTTCCATTAATCATCTGTTAATCATCTGAGGCAATAATCTTTTGAGGTCAGAGTGTGGCTTCCCCATTACTCATTGAAGCTTAACAATTTAATTACCCTAATGATAGGGTACTCGATTAATCAATTGATTCATTGATGTTTCATTTAAAAGTTATGTGAGCGGGTGCCTTAAGGCGTGTTTGAGTCATTTAAGATTGTGGTGCCCGGAGTTAAAGGGGGGCTTTTTGGTGCTTAAAGATGTTAATCACCAATCATATCATTTTCTAAATCCAATCAACTTGAGTTTAAACATTGAACCTATGTCACTACCAAGCCTTTAACAATCATAATGAGTGAAATGGTAGTTTTCAAAGTTTTAATTTAAGTGCCATATATCCTTAATAAATGATCACATCATCCTCAACTTCAGGCTTAAGAAAAGTAAATTATCAGCTTCCGACTTAAGCCCATCACTTAAGAATCATTCACTTAAGAATCATTTGACACTTAAGAATCATTTGATCTTTAATTGACTTCCAAGTCATGAAGATTAGGAGAATTATGCTTTTGATTGATGTTGTGCAAGGGTGTTAAATGGGTTTCTACCTATTAGCCCCATTTATTTCAATCGCCAAACATGTTCATTAATATCAAAATTACCCATTTTCCCTTTGATAATCCTAAATTTTGATGAAGGCTCCAAAGTCTAAAATTACCACTTTGCCCTTGGGGCACTTCAACTCATAATTCATTAAACACAACTCAAATGATTTTGAGGGTTTAGAGTATTATATCCATGACGTAATTAAATTGTTAGAGGATGATATGTGGGCCTCTCAAAATTTAATTTAATTTAGATAATTATTTAAATCCAGAAAGTAAGGTTTTCAAAAGATGATTTATTTAACCTCTCAAAATAAAGTTTTTATTTATGAGAAAATTATCATAGGATTCCTTAGGTCAGAGAAATATTTAGGTAAAATTTCATGATTTTTTGAATTAAATTTTTATTATTATTATTTTAGTTTAGATCAATTTTCATGATTTATTTTAAAAATTTTTTTATTATTATTATTTTAGTTTAGATCAATTTTCATGATTTATTTTAAAAAGAAAATAGTGTTTTAATTACAAAAAATTATTTTTATATTTTTGTTAGACTTCTCTGAGTTCAGAAAACTCAGAGAATCATATTTTATATTTTTGTGACTTTTAACTATTTTAGTGAAAAAATAATGAAAATTCGCTTTCAAGTTTTTTTTTAAAAAAAAAATTTGATTTTAACTTAGGAAAATTAGGAAAAATATTTTATTGAGTCCCAAGTGATCAGAGAACAGTTAGAGACATTTTAAAATATTTTTTGTATTTTTAGATTTTTATTTATTCTTAATTATTTTAAATTAAAAAATAAGGTTGTGAAATATATATGCATAGGTAAGGTGACATATATGTAAAAATTGAAGTTTATGTATTAGATATGTAAATACATTAGAAATGAGTGGTATTGGTATGTATGTAAATCTTTGTGAATATTTATGAATCCATCCATTTTAACATGATAAACTTACAAACTAGATGCTTTTTTTTCTTTTTGGGAAAATGCAAAAGTGAAGGAAAAATTATAACTCACCCAAAATAGAAACAATACAACTGCCAAATACACAATCCCTAACAAATCGCATGACTACCCAAAAATAAACAAAAAGGTAAGAACACATGAACAAAAGAGTAAAATGTGCAATACAATGCAATCAGAATACAGGAGAAGAAAACATCACCATCAACATCGCCAATCAACAACATCAGCCAATCCGGAATCATCAACAGAAAGAAGAGAGAGCACAAGGAAGCAGAAACTAAACCGCTCAACCAATAATGCTCAGAGACTCTGCCTATCATCCAAAGAAAGAACCACTCCAATGAGGTGAGGTGAGCGCACACCAAATCTAAAAAAGACGAACTAAAACTAAACCACAACAAAGAACAGAAACATGAACTAATAAAAAAACCAAAAGGGGCTAAAAATAAGGAAACTAGATAGTCTAGCACTGGACAACTAAAAAAAAAAAAAAAACACCGCAACACTACGAAAAGTAAGCGAAATAAGCTCCTCATATATTATGAAAACGAGCTAAGAACTTACCTGCAAGAAAATATTAAAATTTCATCTAAGAATTTGAATATAATCAAATAAAATATAATTTAAATAAAAAAAATAATTGAATTTTAATATATGACTAGAATACATCAAACCCAACCACCATAAAAAAAAAAAGTAAATTCAATAATTAATATAATTCATAAATCTTTTAAGATTATTGTGAATTAAATATCTATCAACATTTTCTTAGATTAAAACTCACAAGAACATGGTTGAAGTTAGTAATTTGTTATTATAGACCTAACAAAAACCAACTTAATTCTAAATTTTTCATAATTTGTTATTACAATGCAAAATTTACATGAATACCACACAAAATTGAGTTATTTACATATCTAACATCAACATTTTAATTATTTAGATTTATAACACTTTTGAGCCATAAATAAATTGGGGTGTAAACGATCTGAACACGGACGAACAGAGTTTGTGTTTGTATTCGGTTCGTTTGAAATTTAGTTTGTTTGAAATAAGCTTGTGTTCGAAATTGTTCGTGAAGTCACTCTTCGTGTTCGTTTCTTAACAAACGAGCCGCACACGAGCTGTTCGCGAACGACGAGTCAGTTTGACATCCCTAATATTAATATATATAAATAGTATTATATTAATTTATAACTTATATTTAATAAATATATAATATCTATATTAGTATATTACTAACATAGTATATCAATATATTATTATTATTAATTTTTGTTCGTGTTTGGTTAGTTAAACTAACTGAATGAAAAAAAATTATTCACGTTCGTCTCGTTCACTTATCGAAGTAATCGAACACGAACTCATTGAAGAACCGAACATTAAATCTTTGCGAACAACAAGCTTTTTTGACAGGCCTATATATATAATGTAAATATATAAGACTTTTGTGTTAATAAACTTTGGGCGGTTAATTAATTAAGTAAAACAAATCATTCAAATATGGGGCAGTATCAGAAAGAAGGAGAACAAAGTTAACTAATCTTTTTTGTTCGTTTAAATCACCTCTTTCTCTATCTATCTCTCTCTCTCTCTCTCCTCTTTCTCTTTCTCTCTCCTCGTTCTGTGTCACGTTCCGCTGATCTGCAGGGAAGAGCAGAGATCAAATAATTTGAATTCAGCAGAGGGAGATCGAGGTCGCATTCATTTTCCGCTATTTATTTGATTTGATCTCTCACTGCGTTGATTTCGCCTTCTGCGTTCAGATCACCGGCGCCACCGACAGGTGATTTCTCTCTCTCTCTCTCTATTAATTTCTCTCCAGATCTGTAAACTACGCCTGTTTCGCTGTAGTTAGATTTTGATTTTGATTTTGATTTTTTGCTGATTTGATTTAGCTGGTGGAGGGAGAGCAATGGCGGTGGAGGAGAACGAGGCTGGGGGCGCCGGCACTGCGGGAGAGCTTCTTGTTAGGGCAGAGCTGGAGATGAAGAAGGAGAGGGAGATGGGAGGAGAGATTGAGCACATTGCCTGCCGGGACGGGGACGACAATGATGGGAGCGGAACCGATGGTTCTTTTGTAATGGTGATGAATGGCGGTGATTTCGATGCCAGATCGGATTCGTCCGAGAAGGATTTTGACGTGGATGCCCGTGGTTGTGAAGGGGGCACAGGAGATCTGTCGGCTGCCAATTCAGGTTTTTATACTACTGTAGATTATGCGAGGGTTGAGGAGGGCGAGGGAGATAATGGCGTGGAGAGAGATGGGAATGAGGGTGAGGAGGCGCGAAAATTGGGTGAGTGTTTTTTGGTAGAGAGTGAAGGGAAGGGTGATGATGTGGGTGAGGGGGAAGATGATGCTCTTGATGGTGAGTTAGCTGAGAAAATTCTGCCTATGCGTGTAGAACTTGAAGAAGTTGTTGATGAATGTGCTAAAACAGATCGTGCGCAGAAAGAAGAGGGTGCAATAGATTTTAAAGCATCGACGAATGAAGAGGAGAATGAGAAAAAGGAAACGGTTGTTGTTGAGGTTCCAAATGATGAAAAGCACAATCAAGTAGAAGAGGGGAAGATAGCTGTTAAGGATTTTATCGATGAAAGAGATGGAGTTCTTGATGAATCGGATGCTAAAGATGAAGTCGTGGACATCAAAGATTTAAAAAGTGAAGAAAAGAATCAAATTGGAGAAGAGGTGATGATTGTTGAAGATTCAAAGATTGTAAAGGATGCAATTATTGAAGATTTGAATAATGAAGATGAAGCTATGGCTAACGAAGATTTGAAAAATGAAGATCAGAGTCAAGATGAAGAGGAAGTGGTGATTGTGACCGATTCAAAAATTGAAATGGAGCCGGTCATTAAATATTTGAATAAGGAAGATATCATGGGTACCGAAGAGGAAGTAACTGGAGGAACAGAGATTTCTTATGCACAGAGCGAAGTGGGAAGTGACAACAAAGGACTGCCTATTGGAGCTTCTTCAGCACAGTCATCTTCATCTGGACCTGTCTCTAGGAATGTTGAATCAGAATTACTGTTTAAAAAAATTGATCCTATTGATTCTGCTGGCACCGAGCTTGTGAACGAAGAATTTGAATCTGTTTCTGAAATTGATGAACTGAAGAAATCCAGTGAACATAAAAGGGGAGCTGTCGAGTCTTCTGTTGCTGAGATAAAGGAAGCTGATTCTGCTTCTGAAATTGAAGATAGAGGGGATATCGACAATGAGGTATCTGTGAAAATTGATTCTTCTGAGCTTTCTAAGGAGGAATTTAATTCTGTTTCTGAGATTGAAGATAGGAGGGATGACAATCTTGAAGAATGTAAGGATGTGGACTCTTCGGTAAGGGATGCTGATAACAAGGGAGTAGATTCAAACTTGGAAGTTGAAGAAAGCAAAACTATCATTGATGAAGGAATCAATAATGTTGAATCTGCAGAGGTGGAAATTAGCTCCGTTGTTGACGTTGAAGATAGGAGGGATGACATACATGAAGAATGTGATGATGTTGACTCTTCGGTCAGGACTGCTGCAGAGAAAAGGGTAGATTCTATCTCGGAAATTGAAGAAAGAGAGAGAACCATTAATGAAGAAATCAAGGATGTTGAATCTGAAATTACTGATCAAATGGATGATGAAGTTTATTCTACTTCTAAAGTTAGGGATATGGGCATAGCCTGTGATGATTCATCCAATTATATTAATTGGGAGAATGAAAAAAATTCAGATATTCAATTGGATGAAAATCTGCGAACCAAAACTATGCCAGCTGTTTATGAAGGGGAAGGTGGAGAATTAAACACATCTGTTGAAGAGGTAAGACAGCACATTGTCAATGAGTCTCTGCCAAATTCTGAAATTGAACAAAGAGAATATGATTCATCCGTAGAGTTAATTGATGAGCCCGTCAAGAAGAACGGTGGTTCAGCTCCTATTGAAGAAGAAGGCCAGGTTGTTGAGGCTTCATCTATTGGACAAAGCACAGAGCCTGCAAAGGAATCTATTAGTTCCCCTTGTCACGCGGAAGTTGAATATGATGAAGCTTTGTCCACCGGTTCAACGCCAGAGACTTCTAACAGGGAGTGGGTTTCAGCACCAGAAGCAGATGTGGACAAGAATGTTGAGATCTTATTCAGTGTTTCAAACCCTGAGCCTAGGAAAGACATGGATTTAGCTCCTATAGTAGAAGAAAAACGGGATTTAGATGCTTCATTCATTGATTCAAATGCTGAGCCTAGTAGGCTCTTAGCTTCAACTTCTGAATCAGGAGAAATCCAGCCTGCAGATGCTCCTTTCGTTGGTTCAATGCCAGAGCCACTTAAGGAGGACATAGGTACAGCCTCAAAATCAGAAGAAAACCGAAATGCTGAAGCTTTGGTAAATGAGGTTGAAAATGAAAAGAGTGAGCTGAATTCTGCCACTGAGTTAGCTGACGGGGTATCAAAACCTGTGAAAGCTCTTGAAGAGATAGAGGATAAAAGAAAGGACTTAAAAGCAGATGACCGGAGTGTTGAAAGTTCGAGGACTGAAACTGCTAATGTAAAGGGAGAACAAAAATCAGCCACTGAATCAACTGGAAATATGAAAATCTATGTTGAGAAGAATTTGGGGGCGACAAAGGAGCAACATAAGGAATTGAAGTCAGAAGAGAAACAGGATGCTGTGCACTTTCAACAACAGGAAGGCAATGCAGCCCCTTCAGCTCCAGATGTTGATGGAGAAAAAATTGAGATGCCTATTAAAAAGTATCGCTTAATCAAAGTGCCCAGATTAACTCAGAAAGTCATCAATGTCGAACATCAAGCAAAGATTACTGATGCTCAGGTGCAAGTTGATGAACATACTCGAAGACGAGATTCTCTAAAGGCTGAACTTGATAACATGAGGGTAAGTTTACTAAAAAGGTTCCTTTATAATCCTTCAAGTTTGATTTTCTATGGTTCTGTTTAAAGCAATTCAGTTCCATTGCCATTCAGAAAGTACTTTCAGACTACTTTCACAAAAGAGATTCTGCCAACGAAGACGAGAAAAAGGCTAAAGCTTTGGTTAATGCTAAACGTCTAGAGATGGATTCTGTCCAGAATGTGATTAGCAAAGGAAAGACTGCATCCTCGTTCTTGGAAATTATTTCTCAGGTACGACTTACAAACTTTTTCTATTCAAATAAACGGTGCATCTCTTTTGCAAATTATCGACCCAGAGTTTTTTTTTTTTTTGTTATGTACATAGATTCATGCTTTAGAGCACAAGATGCAACATGAAACAATCTCCTTAAAAGATGAGAAGAAATACTTGCAGGAGCTAAATCAACTTAAACATGAACGAGAACTTCACCTTTTTAGCAAGTGCTCCCAGTTAGAAATTGATGAGGCTCTAAAGCAGAAAGAAACAGCTGAATCAAGCTTGAGGGTATTTCTCATCTTTAATTATATTCGCTGATGTTTTTGTTCTGATTTTCTTACCAATGTACAAGGTTTTGATCTATTGTAGACTTTGAAAAAGGAGTTTGATACACTAAGAACTGCTCACTTGAAAGCGGAAGAATACTCAAAGGTTGTTAGCAAAAGCTATATCGATCAGTTTAATAGAATTAAAGAGCATGAACAGAAGTGGAAGGCTGCTAATGAACTTCGTCAAAATGCTTATAAAAGCTTGCATGGCCTTAAATCTGATAAGGTGTGTTACTATCATACTTTGATTTTTGTTTTGGCTCTATTTTCTTAAATTGATGGTTATTATTTTGTGACCATTTTTCAAAGGTTCATTCATTTTTTTCTTTTGCTTGTTTTATTCTATGGTTGTGATGCTCTCAGACTTCTACCGCTGACATATCTGCTAGCATATATACCCCACTCAAGATGCCTTTCAATTGATTTTCCTTCCGGCAAATTATTTCTCCCAAAAAAAGAAAAATAATAAAATAAAATAAAATAAAGCCAATCCGTAACTTTTCACTTCATAGCTTTAGATGCTTAAGTGTTTTAATGTTCCTATAAGCTCATATTGAAAAAGTTAGCAGTTATGTTGCTAATAGTAGGCTTATATATTTTTTTCTGTGTTGACAAAAATATCATTTAGAGTTCGGAGGCAGTTTTACAAAATCATCAAGACTAGGGGTTCAGAATATATGATATTGAAGAGAACTAGGCATCCATCAATGGGCCAAGCTTTCTTTATTGAAATTTGGGCTGGAAGATAAGTACACCGATGGGTGAAACTAGAATTGGCATTTTTTAATGGATATTGCTTTTAATTTTCGTGATGATTGGCTTCAAACTGTAGAGAAACCCGGAAGTTCTGCCCCTGTAGTTTCTCCAAACCTGTAGACTAGAATTATAACAAAAGTCCAGCAGGCTTGAAACTGAAGTTAACAAACCAAGTTAGCAAATCTACTTTTGTACGTAGAATGACTGAATCGCATCACTGTTGTTTGTATGACAATTTGTTTCATTATTTTGTAAATAATGGCATCATCTTGAATTTAGGATTAGATTTTCTACCTGGCTTCCCAATTAAAAGATGCTCGATTAGTTCCTAGAAGTTTTTTTCTTGAACAATTTAACCTGCCATATTATTTATCTAGCTATGACTACACTTCCCTTTTTGAATAGAAAATAACAGAAGTACTATACATTTAATGCCTTCTCTAGTTGCTTTATGCTTTTACTCGTGCATTTTTCAGCCTCCATTTCTTTATGCTTTTTCTTGAATGGATAATTGTTTAAAATTTTATGTTTATTTTGATATTTCAGAAAAAAATTATGCCTACTTAGTCTTTGTTAAATGATGGGAATTTTCTTGCATGATTCTAGTTTTTATTAAGTGTTTTAAGTGGTATTATTGTCAGTTTAATTTGTGTAGGCATTAGGCGTATATTGATTCCTCTACAGTAGCTACAGAGCTACTATTTGTTTCCTTCTTTACTCTTGGCCCTTGCTAAGAAGGAATGCTATTTTGACGCACGCACACACTCACACAAAATGACAGAGAGAGAAAGAGAGAGATAGAGATCATGTTTTATGACTGTTAAATTTAATTAGTAAACAAACAAAATCATTGAAGGAGTTGGTGTAGATCAAACATCTGGGGTTTTATGGCATACTGAACTGTGCCTGTCAGATATGTTTCTGTCAATTGGTATGAGACACAGCTACCTTGTTTTCCATTTTTAATTAAGCTTCTTGTTAAAATAGGTTATTTTCCTTCTTTAAATTTGAAAGACTCGTCCCTTCTTTCTGGTTTTGTTTCTAAAAAACCCTGTTCAATTTTGACAAAATGCAACACTGAATTTTCAACAAATTGCAAGTATCATTACTTTATCAATTATTATGCTTCGACTAAATATCCCAAAGATATGAGCATAGCATGTGTGAAATGCAATTTTTTTCTAGGTGCTCTTAAAATTTTAGGGCTTTTTTGGAATCAATTTTGTTTTTTATTTTTTATTTTTGTTTTTACAAAGTATTTGAAAAGCAAGTTTGTTTAGCACCATTTTTGCATGCTTATAACTTTAATTTTTTAACAAATTAATTTATTTTTAACAATACTGAAAACACCTAAAAAGTTTTTGTGAGTATTTTTAAAGGCATCATATTATAGATTAGTTTCATTTTAAGTAAAAACATAAACAAAACAAAGCAAAAATAAAAATAAGAAACAAACGTTAAATGTAATCCCAAACAGCGACTTAATATTTTATAAATTATGGTCTACTTGCTTGATGCTTTTTGCCATCAACAGTTCTGTCCGGGTTTGTTTTTTTTTTCACACCTAAATGCTTGCATGCTACATATGCAAGGTCTTAAACTCAGGACCGCTCGATTGAAAGATAAAGTTACCAACCATTAGGCTAAGATGGCTTGCATCTATCCTGTTTATATAGCTGCTTCTGATTGAAATAACTGTCAATTAGAAATTCAGTTCCAGTTCTCTATCCTTATCATGAGGATTTTTCAGAAATTTCTAACATCTAAGCAAATCAGGTTATAGCAGGATATACTAATCTCCTTATTTTTTAATCCCTTTAGTTTTTCTTAAAATAATATGCTATTAAAATTGATAACATTTCGATAATCTGCCTTCATGCTTAGTTTGAATAATTGGATCTTGTTAAAGGCATTCATATTTATAATGTTTGTGTCCTTACCATAATTTTCTTAACTTTACATACTCAAATGTGAAGTAGATCCATTCGAATCACCGTATATGAAAGCAGGTTATCTTTCTAAACATTGTTTTGCTGTATCAAAAAATATACACTTCATGCTTTTCTGACATGGCTTTTTTTCTTTTTATCTTCATGCTGGAAGAACTCTCGTATTAATTTTTCTTTTCTCACCAAGATTACCTAATATGTCACTTCTTTATACTTAATAGATGGAACACTACTGGAAGTACATGGATGACAGGCAGGCTGCAAAGAAGTATGCATCCTCAAGAGACATAGAGGCTCTAGAACGCCACTGCACTGAACAGGTGACTTAATTTCTCAGCTTAAATCACTTGGTGCCTGTTTGTGATAAATTTTGTTTTTTTTATTTTTATTTTTTTTTCTTTTGTATTTAATATTTTTAATGTTTTTGTTTCTAAAATCAAATAAACATATTTTTTAACACACTCAAAATGATTTTTAAATGTTGGGATCAATTATGTTTTTTTTTGTTTTTTTCTTTTTTTTTTTTAAATATGTTTGTTTGGTGTCTTTTTTACATGTTTTTATTTTTTGTTCCTGAAAGTAAATTAACATGTTTTGGAAAATACTCAAAACAACATTTAATTATTTTAAGCGTTCTTAAAAATAATCATATCTCAATCAAACATACCAAACATAATTTGTTTCAAATCAAAACGTAAACAAAACAAAATAAAAAAAAAAAAGGAAAAAAAAAGCAATCCAATTACTTTTTATTTTTTTGTTTTCTATTTTTATTTTTATTTTGTTTTGTTTATGTTTTGATTTGAAATAAAATATATTTGGTCCACTAAAATATGTTTAGTTGTTTTTAAAAACCAAAAAAATAAAAACACAGAGAAAGGCACTAAACAAACATATTTTCAAAAAGCAAAATAAAAAAATGAAAAACAGAAACCAAAAAACAAAAGGGATATCAAATATGCCTCAAGTGTTTTGGGTATTTTAAAAAACAAACATATCTTAATGACACATACGAAACTTGGTTTATCTCATATCAAAGCATATACAAAATAAAATAAAAATAAAAAGCAAAATTTTATCCCAATTGACCCCTTAATTAACAAGGCAAACTACTAACCTAATATTTCATCCAGGTTGAACGAATTATGCGGTTATGGAATGAAGATGATGACTTTCGAAAACAGTATGTTGAATCCAATGTCAGTAACATCCTAAGAAAATTTGGGACTTTAGATGGAAGGACTCCCGGTCCGAATGATCCGAAACCCTTACATCCCAGTCATTTTTCTCCTACAAGTAGGTCTCCTGCTCCTATCACTGTCCGCGAGGAACTACCTCTTCGCCCACATAAAGTTACCAAACCTGCACTTCCAACAAATCCAATGGCGAGATCAAAATTACCCTCCAAACCTACCATGAACAAAGTTGCCGCGGTGGATGCTCCTTCGGTTGAGGAAGTTGTAGAGGTGGAAGTGGAGAAAAAACTCACAAAAGAGGAAGAGGAGCAGGCCAGGTTAGCAGAGGAGCTGGCCAGAAAGGAAGAAGAGCTTAGAAAGATAAGGGAGGAATTAGAATTGAAAGAAAAGCTAAGAATGGAACAGAAGGCCAAGGCCAAGGAGGCCGAGGAAAGAAAAAGAAGAAAAGCTGAGAAGGCCCAAGCCAAAGCTGAATACAAGGCACAAAAAGATGCAGAACTAAGAGAACTAGTAAGTTAATCTAATTGCAAATGAAATTTTACATAAAACTCTGTTGAACAATTTTGAACTTTTTTTTTTTTTTTTGCAGAAGAGATCAAAGAAAGAGAAGAAGAAAGAGAGCTCATCAGAAAAAGCTGGAAGCGTGGAAGGAGACATTGCATCTGTTACTGAAACTGCTTCACAAGAAGCTTCAGAGGAACAGGAAAGCAACATTGTGGCAAGTTCAAAGAAATCTAGAAGGAGAACATCGGCGGCATTGAATAAGTACAGCAACAAAGTTCAACCAGTCCCCTTACATCTAAGGAACAGGGGGAAGAAGAAGATGTCAACGTGGATATGGACTTTGTGCGTCGCAGCTGCACTTATAGGTTTATTCTTTGCTGGAAATTATATATCCTTTTCTGTTAGCTGGCTAAATTTTGGCTTCTAAGCATACATGTTTGCATACTGGTATTTATATATAGTGATGAGGGGATCATAGATTACAGAAAGTGATAAGGGAGATTGTTTACTTACAAACTAAAGGCTTAATCATTCTTTTGAGAGGGTGTTTTTTTCTTTTCTTTTTTATATTGTTGATTCAGTTCAACAGAAGTTATCTTTATTTGATTCAGGTTGTTGGTAGACCTCATAATTTGGTTGAATAATATGGCTATAGGTACCTTTTGCTTCATAGATGGCTTGGTTCAATTTATATTGTGTTCTTGTATCAGTTGACAGGAAATTTTCTTGCCATTAAGGAACTGCTTGGGTTCATATTTGTTTTCTTTTTTTTTTTTTTTTATATTTTTTGTGATGTTGAAACTAAATAAATTTATTTTTTAAAACACTTGGAAAACTTTTATTTTTCTTTTTTTTTTTTAATTTTATATTTGGAAATTTATTTTTAAAAAGACTTAATAAATTGTTTATTTTATTGTAAAAAATACTTAGAAATTCATTTTTCTCTTTTATTTTATTAAACAATTTAGCTTAATATGGATTTCAATATCAGTTGGCAAAATTCGTTTTTATGAAGTTCTTCATAACTAAAAACTTATAATATGTGATGTATGAAGCTTAATTTCCAACTCATTTGTGCATTAACGTTGGGCTCCAAAAAAAAAAGCAACCATGCCCAACAATCAAAATATCAAAGGTAGAAGCATGTTTCATAGACCAAGTAAATGATAACTTCATTTCTCCTTAATGATATTAGTACTCTTAACTTTCCATATACTCATCTCCCTCAAAAACACACCTTTATCTCGAGACAATAATAGTAGCCAATTTAACTCTAAGCATCTACGACCTCACAACATAAGGTTGAAACTCTTCATCATGGATCTTTATGACCTAGAAGTCTCAAACTCTTCCAATCAACTATAATATTAGCTTAAGAATTTCCCATCACACAAGTTTATAATGTGTGTAAGTTCAATGGGATTGATAGAGTGCTTGAATGTAGGAATTCCATACTCTCTTCCACTTCATCATTATAAGGAACAATTGATACATGATTAGATATGGTATAGTGGCCCTTTTACCTTTTGTTTGAGTTTTCAATGTTATTAACTCCTAAATGGTAGGAAACACCTTTGGGTTACTCCTACAAACATTATTTCTTCTTTTAGGGTACGTTTGAGAAATAATTTTCTCACTGCACGTAGTTTTAGATCACCATCATAACTACGTTTAATTGCTGTTTACAAACAAATTTGATAAAATATGTTAACTATAAGAAAATTTCCAATAGATTATAAAATGATAAGTTTCTCTTAATAAGTTTACATTACTATGTTTGAGTGTAAAGTGTGTGTGTGTGTGTGCATGTGCGCATGTGTGTGTGTGAGAGTGAGTGAGTGAGTGAGTGAGAGAGAGAGAGAGAGAGAGAGAGAGAGAGAGAGAGAATTCTATTCTTCATTTATAATTTTGCATGTTACTACATTTAAATACAAGATAAAATTTTTATTTAGAACTTGAGGACAATTTAGGCTAATTTTTGGAAAAATTTTAATACTGCCTTTTCTTTTAGAAAAAATGAGAAGCCTCTAACTTTTTTTAGAAGTCACAATTATTTTCAAATAACTTTAAAACATGTCTTTTAAAAAAAATCTAATTTTAAACCAAATTTTATAAAACAAAACAATACCAAGTAGAACCCAAAGGCATGTTTGACATGGCTTATTGTCTATGGTGTGGTTCAAACTACGCCGTAAATGGTGTTTAGGGCTTCATGTTTGTTGCATTTTTTAGAAAAGTGGGACAATGAAATAGAGTAATGTGACATCTGAATTCCAACCGCGACCCGCAGGTTGAGGCCACATTTTCCTTTTTCATTACACTTGAACCCTTATGTCTTATGTTGTTGGTTGTCGAACAGTTCCTTTTTTATTCTCCTTTGCTACAAGGTCTTCTCTTTTCTTTCATTTTCTCATGTTGGTGATGGAGGAGGTTGATGTTGCAATGGTATGAATCTCCCATCAACCATGCAAGTATAGGCGTTGATCAAGTAATACATTGATTTAAGAATGTGTATCAATCCCACGAGGAACAAATTAACTTTCAAATCAGTGTGAATATTCACTTTACTATTTCTAGGTTTAGTATGAAAGGTCAAAATTTTTTGTGAAATTTTTAATATAATCCTGATTTTATTTGCAAAAATAACTTAAAGTAGATATGTTTTCTGGCAGGTAACATAATTCTCACTTGAATTGAACACAAGAAATTTAGAAACATCCAATCAAATATATTTTTGTTGACAATCAGGAACAGCAGTGCTCCTTAGCCTCTTCTAAAGTCATAAGAAGGCTTGAGATTTCATATTACAATTTACTTCTTTAAATCATACAAAAATCCTCTTGTTTTATATTTCCCGATGTGATTGGAATATTCTAGCAAAAAAGATTCTTATTCTCCTAAAATATTGTATATTAATCTAATTGCTCTACTAGTCTACTTCTGTAGTACTAGATCACAATCCATTTTAACATTATAAGTGACAAATTTAGAAGTAAATTAATCAGAAAAGGTGAACATATCAACATAAAGTTAAAAATAGTATTTTCACAAAATCATAGATTATATCTAAATTCCCCATATTACAATTCAAGGGAGAAAACAATTTAGTGATGAGACATGCAAATGAAAATATAATAACTTTTATTAAAAATAGAAATCAAAGTTTATACATAAAGTACAAACAACCAAACCAGAGTATTCTATATTTTACTCCACAAAGTTTCTCCCATTTACAACTTAACACTTACAAATACTTACTTCGGGGGGGGGGGAATAAAAACATAATATCTCTCACTCACGCTCATAGTGTTTTTCCACTCTCCTTACTTCATCTCTCTGTCTCCAAGTTTCTTCTCCTCGTTCTATTCAATATGACCATCATTTATAACCAACTTAAAATTCCACAAAACTATCATTTTGTACTTGAACTAACTCAAGTTTTTCTCTCTCGATAAGCATAGGTTGTTTTGGGTTCCTAAGCACCCATTACTAGTGCAACCTAAGGTTCACACCAGAGCGCCAGGGGCTCTAGGTTCAAGTGTTAGGCACCCAGAATTGGCTTAGGGGTGTCGGTTCAACACTTTGGCACTTTGTTTCCGTTCATTTACTCCCCAAGTTGCTAATCACCTAATAATGCATAAAACACTAAATACCCACATAAAATATAAAAATAACACAAATATAGATAAAATAATATAAAAATAATAGCACATTAAATAAACATCAAATTGTCTTATACTTAAATATTACATTCCTCATTATCTTCATGGTGGTTCTTGCAATTAATAAAGATTGCTTGGCAAAGAGTCTAGCATAGTCCTCTTCAACAGATAATTATATAAGTAAGTGTATACCATCAAGGAGACCCAACTTCCAAGCTCCAATAAATTTTAGTGAATCAAAATAGTTCCTTACAAGTTCCATCTTAGGATGCCCCAACTGAAACTTGCCTATAAGTGTAAGTTTAATTTCTTCATTCAATGAGGTAATTTCCTGTGGTGAGAAATGATCCAACTTTTTGGTTGTGATAGATTATGTAAAATTTAATTAAAAATAATCAATTAATATTCAGATTCTATGCAAGTATATGTATCGTGATTCTATGCAAGTAGACTTTCTATTTAAGCCCCAAATATCGATCCTACGTGGAAGATTTAAATTGGAAATGATAAACTTACTAGGAAATTCACAGAAAATTTAAATTGGTTAAATTGGAAATGATAAACTTACTAGGAAATTCACAGAAAGTCAATTGAAATCACTAATTTCAATTTTTAAGATGTAATCAAAATTAAATTTCCAAACTATTATCAAATCAAATATGCAAAAATTAAAATAGTAAATACTAATCGATGTGCTGTCACCTATTTGAGATATGATGATTTTTCATCCGCCCTTATGACCTAGAAGTGCTTTAACATATCGGTATACCCCGTCAGAATGATCTAGTTATTTTGTAGGTCCATATTCTGATGAGTCTGCTACCCGTGTGGGACCGTGAGAGACTCACTCTCCATCTGATGGCTTAGCAAGGGCTTTAAAAGCATCAGAGTATTCCCTTATAAAATAACTTTGATAACACTATCCTAGTTGTCACTTTAAATGTAAGCAAAACTATCAAGAGTATTCTTGGGCAATGCTTAAGATGTAATTAATCAAGTGAGATACGTTCTCTTGGGAGCACTTTGGACCCAAGAATAGGCAAACACACTTGAATCTATGGTTGTGGGCAGCTTTCGTAAGCATTCTTTCATGGATATTTGGTAGAAGCTATCTTGGTTTGAACTTATTCGAGTGTATATTGTTGGGCTATCCTTATAGGGTTTATCGTACGAAAGTTCTCTATGTTCTTTCGCTTGTTCGTTTACCTCTGTCGTATGTCATGCTTTTTCAATACTTCTCCTCTCCTGATGATTCACATGATTCAAAAGAGAGACTTGTTTGAAAAAGTAAAGTATACGACGATGGACAAACTATTGACTCCTTTAAAAATGAAAAGAGAAAAAAACAAAAATAAAAACCATTAAAAATTATTGATAGCCATCTCTTCTATTAAAGCATAGGCCTCCTCAAAGGGTTAGACATTATGAACCCCTTGCAATAGTTTTTATTATAGATCTTAAAGATCTCATCAACCCGTAAACATTGTTTTGAAGATTAGTTGGTTGGGTAGGGCTTGGTGCAAGTGCTTCCTAAGAATTTTCTTAAATCTTTCCCAAGCTTCATACTTGGACTTTCCATCTAACTGGATAAAGAATGTAGCTTAGCAGTTTTGGATGGAAAAAAATACTTAGCTAGAATTTTTTGTGCAAACTCTTTCCATGTTGTGATTTTACCAGGTGGTAAGAGTTTAGCCAAATATTTATCTTATCTATTAAGAAAAATGTGAACAACCCAGGCCTGAAAACATTATCAAGGACATCATCATACTTAAATGTTGCACAAATTTTCAAAAAATTAACAATGTGGAGGTTAGAATCTCTAATAGGTGACCCCAAAAATTGAGAATTTTTTATTATTTAAATGATTGAAGGTTTGATTTTGAATATATTAGCACTAATGGTATGTCCACTAATGCTCGAGTGCACTCTATTTATAAAGGGTTGACAAAGTCCCTAATCAGTCTAAGCTGAACATTCTCATCCTAAGGGTTGTCTTGCTCCTAACT